TCCCACCTGGTTGGCTCCCTTCCCTCAAATAACCCAGCTTCCTCTCATCCTTATGTTTCCTCTCCATTTACCCAGTGCCTTAGCCTTACTATTAAATGACTGTTATGGTCATCCCTTCTCATGTGTTAGTTGTCAGGTGGCAGCTCCAAGGAGTAGTAACACTTTTTAAAGAACACTCTTGAAGGAGAAAAGAAAGTGACCTTGAAGCAGACGCTATCATTTCCTCTAATCATGTGCAAGACGTCAACGACGATTTGAAAACCACCTCTGAACATTTGCCAATCATTGAAAGAGCTCCTTTTATACCCTCCCTACTCTGCAAAGCTTTTCCACATACTGACCACTCCTTTGGAACTCCCAAACAACCTGCAAGGCGGTAGAGTAAGGCAAACCTGTCACCAGATTACCAAATGGCGCAAAGTCACAGAGAGGTTACGTGGGCCTCCCAAGGTCACACAGCCTGGACAGCAGCAATCCTGGATCTGCAAGGTCCCAAAATAAATCATTTTTCTCACCACAGAGGCAGTTCTCAAATTCCACCTCTGGGCACTATTGTCCCCCTATCTCTAATTACCTGCCTACCTCAGTCCACGTGAATTCCAGAATATAAGACCCAGCTTTTTCAGCTGACCTTCTCTAATATGGAGCAATATAATGAGGGTTCTGGCATTCTATCAGATAATATTTCTGCTATAATTGTTTGGGGGTAGTTTAAGTGGTATTGTATTTGGGCCTCAGAACTGTACTAACCCTAAACTACGGGTACACATTAAAAATCAAATACGGGAACATAGAAAATTTAAATGGACCTAAAAAATACACCCAAGCCTCCCAACTGGGAAATAAAAAATATTTTCAAGTACAGCAGGTCCTTGAATAATGTCATCTTGTTCAACATCATTTTATTTTAAAGTTTATGAGGTGCTGTAGGGACTTAGCTCTTGTTTATATCAATTAGCCTATAGTAAAATTGGTTTCCTCATTTGTCATTTTACTTAAAGTCATAGAACCTATTGATGGTGTTAAGTTATATGCTATTCTGTATGCTCTAAGCCAGGCGTCTTCAAACTATGGCCTGAAGGCCACATGCGGCCCGCAGAGGAGTCTGATCTGGCCCGCCAGGTTTTTTGGGCAGTGAGTGCAGCCGAGGTGTTACAGTAGGAATTAGTAGTTCATATAGTCCGGCCCTCCAGCTCTCTGAGGGACCATGATCTGGCCCCCTTAAAAAGTTTGAGGACCCCTGCAAGCCTTCAACTATTTTGCTCTTTTTTTTTTAATATATTTTTTATTGATTTTGTACAGAAAGGAAGGGAGAGAGATAGAAACATCGATGAGAGTCATCGATCAGCTGCCTCTTACACACCCCCTACTGGAGATGTGCCCGCAACCAAGGTACATGCCCTTGACCAGAATCGAACCCGGGACCCTTCAGTCCCCAAGCCGACGCTCTATCCATTGAGCCAAACTGGTTTCGGCAACTATTTTGCTCTTAAGCCACAGTTTCTGCTGTCCTATTGGGAACCATGGCTGTTAGAGGCAGGAGATGGGCACTGTGTGTCGGCAGTGAACCCTTCCGGGAAGGTGTCATGTAGAAGACAGTTCATTAGATTCTTCGTGGGGTGGGCGTCACATTGCTCTTTGGAAGCCCAGAGACCGGAGGGCTTCCCTCATCACTGCAGCGTGAGATTCATAAAACTGCCCCCAGATCACAGACCATTCAGTGTCCTTCTGAAGGCCCATTTTCTGACTAACAGTATGGAAAGTTCCCAAGTCACATTTCTTATTCAGCACATTTCTGTTTGACAACACTCTCCATGCTGCTTTCCGTGTCACTGCTCCCGCTTGGACACTGCCACCAAAAGGCATACTCTCATGTCCATTCTCATATCCATTCTCAAAGACGATGCAGAGCTCTCCTTGTCCAAATCCCTCTCCCTGTCACATAGACTCTTCATGTCACAGCCCGAGGCTGCCTCTCTGCCTCTGTGCTGACACTGTCCTGTGTGCTTCACACAAACTCATTTCCTGTCCCTCACAAGCACCCTACACTGTCCTGCTACCCTATTCGCCCGGTTGCTTCTTTCACCTGAGTGCCCGTCCTTTCTCTGCCTGATTCCTACTCAGTAGCAAAAGTCCAGCTCAAACACCGTCTTTGCTCCTCCTTATTTATATGCAATTGACCCCTGAACAACACAGGTTTGAACTGCATGGTCCACTTACATGGGGACTTTTTTTTTTTTTCTTCAATACATGTGTTTTCCTTATAATTTTCTTAGTAACATTTTCTTTCTTCTAGCTTACTGTATTGTTACAAGATAATATGTCATTCATGTAACATACAAAATAGGTGTTAATTAGGTGTTGGTTACAGATAAGGCTTCCGGTCAACAGAGGGCCATTAGTAAAGTTTTTGGAGAGTCAAAAATTATAGGTAGATTTTCAGTGCCCTCAACCCCTGAGCTGTTCAAGGGTCGGCTGCACGTGCCTTCGCCCTCCTTTTAAGTTGTGTGATACAGGACTTAATGCGACAAGTCGGTTCCTGGCAGGCTGTGTAAGTGCACAGACCTCACGTGTCCACTCCACTGCTTCACGAGGCAGGACGGTGCCACGGGGTCTCAATGTCGGATGGTAAATCAGTAGATCATTAGCGAGAGCTCTGGCCCTTCTGCAGTCTGCTTTTTCCACCTGGTGCATTTTCCTCCACTTTGTGGCCCACGGCCTTCATCGTTCTGCCTCGGTTGAATGTGCACATCCACCACCTCAATGCACACATAGTAAGAAAGTTTGGGTGTTGTTGTTGTTTCCAGGATTCCCGAAGTTCTGAAGTAATAATAATACATTTTTATCCCCCTAGAAGATTTTGTCATTCTTACAAGGCTGTGTGGTTTAGGAGGAGCTAAGGCAAACAAATCCTGAACAAAAAGTTCAGGTCCCAAATAACCACCTGGGTTCCCAGAGCCCAGCCAGCGAGGCAGTCTGAGTGAACAGCTGTGCTTGTCGCTCCCCTGGTGCACGCCCCGGTGACATGGGTTCCTGAAGTGTGACTGGAGGTCTGACCCAATGAAACCCGCCCAGCGGGTCACCGGGGCCACTGAAGCATGAGTCTGCATTTCTCAGGTCCCTGTAACAGAATCTGAGCCCTGCGGAGCCGAGGGCGGGCCAGAGGCTATCTGGTGGCCAAGGGCAGAGCTGGGGCTTTAGAATAACAGCTCAGAGGCTGTAATCCGACGCCATCCCAGGACGTTTAGCCAGTAAATCATCTCAATCACCCGCTCGTTATTCATAAACACAAGAAACCAAGTTTGCTTTTGGCTGCTCCCTTTGCCCTTTCGGGTTACACCAACATGATGCGGTCCTTACCTCTCCCTTGTGTCGCATAAAATGCAGCTGGCACGGTAAAGCATCTTGTCATCGTGGGTGTCACGTGTGAACACTGGCCTGGGGCGGCCCGGTCACTGCTGCTCCCGGAGCCAACACCGGCGCTGGCAGTTTAGGGGCACGGCTTTCGGTAGTTCTTCAAGCCTCGTTAAGACTAAATCCACAGAGATGTGAGACCAGCAGCCGTGTAATCTGAGGCAGGAGTGGCCCTTACTGTTACCTCCATCATCCATTTTACTGCAGCCTTGTCGGAGAAGAGTAAAGAGGGTGAGGTTTTTTGTGTCTTAAGTGTTAAAAATTCTCAACAGCAAATCTATCAAATTAGTCACACGAGGAGCCCAACCTCAGTGTGAGTCCTCCCCAAAGCCCACACTCCCTCTTCAGGCTTTGTATCAGGAGAGTCAAGACAAGGACTTGGGAGTCAGGCTTCTGGGTCTGGCCTTCGCTACTACATCGCCTTAACGATTCTCTCTGGTCTCGCTTCCTCATCTGTAAAGCGTGGGTGGCAATAACAATACCAACGCACATGATTACTGTGATAAGTAATTACCTCATGGGAGGTCAGTAAACGTTAGCTCTCATTTGCACGGTCTTGAATTTAGCTATGATCCATTGTTCTGGGAGTTTTATGGGTCCTGGGAAAATATGACCTTCGTTCATCTGTGATGAGGGAGGAAGAACACATACTACATCTTTTTGTTTCATGGTCAGATCTCTACCTGCGTGATTCTCAGAGTGTGGTCCCGGGACTCCTGCAGATCCCCAGCAGCCAGGCCCTTAAATTGATATACATCACTGCATACGTGTAAAACACACAGCATGACGGTTTGATTTATATTGTGAGACAATTACCACCATCTTCTCACACAGATACAATAAAGAGACAAAAAAAAAAAAAGGGAAAAAAAGGAAAAAGATTTCTCCTTGTGACAGAACTCAGGATTTACTCTCTTAACAACCTCCCTATATATCATACAGCACTGCTAGCTGTTGCAAAGTCACCTTTGTCATACTAAAATGTTATTTGCCTTTTTCACTCTCCTGAGGGTGGAGTAGAATTTTCCAGGGGCTATATGCCAGGTGAGGATGTAATCACTTAATAGGTAATGGAATGTCTGCTTGTATATCCTTGCGTGTGGTGTGGGTTTTTTGTTGTTGTTTTGTTTTGTTTTTATTCCTCAACTGTTTCTAATAGAGTAAATAGCAATCGCATTAACCCACATAAATAAATCTCTTTGGGGTGCTCGATAATTTGTTTTTGTTTTTTATTTCAGAAAGGAAGGGGAAAGGGGGAGAGAGAGAAGCATCAGTGATGAGAGAGAATCGTTGACCAGCTGCCTCCTGCACGCCCCACACTGGGGACTGAGCCCAGAACCCAGGCCTGTGCTCTGACCTGGAATGGAACGGAGCCCTCCTGGTTCATAGGTTCATGCTCAACCTCTGAGCCACCGGGCTGGGCCAGTTTATGAGTTTAAAAAGATCCAGTGACCAAACACTGAGACCCTCCGCTAGACTATTTTTCATGTCCACGTCACCCCTCAAAATCCTTTATGCAAAAAATGCCAACCTTTGAGACCCTGCCCCCGGGCCACCCCGCCCACACCCGCCCCGCTGTGTTGCAGGCTGTCCGGGTCCGACCTGCCCGGCGAGGAGTGGCTGGACTACGAGAAGCACGGCCACCGCCGCTCCATGATCCGCAGGGTGAAGCGCTTCCTGAGCGCCCACGAGCACCCGGGCAGCCCGCGCGGCCGGCGCTTCGCCCGCCAGGCCAGCGAGAGCTCCGCCTTCTTCCCGCCCGGCGACCTCAGCCCCCGCCGCGACCTCCTGGACGTGCCGGCCCGCAGCCCGCGCCGCGCCGCCAAGCCCGCGGCCCCCGACGGCGGCGCGCGGCACGCCAGCCTGGGCGAGCTGTCCACCATCCGCGAGGCCAGCCGCACCAGCACGCTGCAGAGCCTCAGCCCGCAGCCCAGCCCGCGCGGCTCCCCCGCCGCCATGCCCCAGGTCCCCGAGCTGCGCGTCACCGCGCCGGGGCCCGCGGCCGCCGAGGACCTGGGGGACTCCACCGCCTCCCTGCAGAGCTTCGACTTCACCGGGGTGCAGCCCGGCGGCCCCGGGGACCCCCTGCGGCTCATGGTGTTCCCCTCCGGGGAGGGGACGCCGCCGCGAGGCCCCAGTCCCCAGACTGTCTCCATCCAGGCTGAGCCAGACCTGTTCCCCTTCTCCCCGGAGGAGGACCCTTTCGCCAACGACTCGTACCCCAAAAGGTGGAGCCTGCCCGGGTTCCTGGAGTCCAGCCACACCTCCCTGGAGGCCCGAGGGGGGCCCGAGCCCGCCGCCAACCCCCCGGAGCCGCCCCTGCTGCTCGACCCAGAGACGTCCTCCGAGGCCAGTGGCATCAACTTCGTGGCCGGCCCGCGAGCCTCCCGCGACCTGCTGTATCTGATGGAGACGCTGGACACCAAGGAGACGGACATCATAGAATTCAACAACGAGCGGGCGGACGGATCGCCCGGGGGAAGGCCAGCCGCCGGCTCCAGGACCTAGGGCTCGGCTCCATCCTTCCTTCCTTCCCCTGAGCTCGGCGTCAGGTCCAGGATGTGTCCAGGGCTGGTCAGTTGTTCAACAGCAATCACACTGTATAAGCTATGTAAAACTCTGAAGGGCATTACGATCCGGGCGTTTTCAACCGAGAAAATCCAGCTGATTGGCTTCTATGGACTTAATCCTGACCGCAGTGATGTATCTTAACCAAATAAGGAGCCTTACATACACATGTGATTTATAAACTCACAGATTGTCCGCTTTGGAAAGCACCTGAGAGATCATAATCCAACCCCCTGGCTTTGCCAAGAGGAAGACTGAGAATTCCCTGTTTGTTTCCTTTTTCTTCTTCTTTCCTTCAATTGTAAAGACAGGGAAAGGGCTCGAACGCTGCATCCTAATTATGAGCTTTTGTTTGAGGCTTTCCTACCATTTCACTCCCACTTTCTAGCCTACTGTGATCGCTTCCTACTATTAAGCTTCCGTTCTTAAATTTAAGCTTCAGCTCCCATTTCCTTTTCTCCTTTCACCACTTCATTTTTCTCTGTTCTCACGTTATTCTCTCATCTCTCTCTAGTTCCCTTCCTAGTCTTGCTCCTTTCCTACTACTCCAGTCTGTCCCACCCTGCAGGTTATAATATTTGCTCTTGCCAACTTGATTGCTTACCTTTCGCCATGATTTTCAAAATGCGAGGCATTGGCAAAGCCTCCCGCAGGATAACTGAAGATGTCAGCAAATCCACTTGACGCGCTTCCAGCCTCTCGGTGGAGAGGGTGGGAGTCCATGGCACCCGCACCCTGGGCAGCCAGGGCGTTTCTCTCCGTCTGCACCCTGAGGCCTGGACGATGGAGAAAGCTGAAGCCATGTGGGCATGAGACATAAATAACCACATGCTATGGAACCAAAGAATACTAACGCTCGAAAGTGTTTAACTCGAACTCTTAAAGCCAAAATCCCAATCTTGTCACAGCGCGGGACCACTTACTGTGTCTGCCAGGTGGTTGGGGATGAGGGAGGACGTTGGAGCTGGAAGGTTTAGGGGGTCCAGGGCTGCACGAGGGGATGGGACTGGGACTCACTCACACCAAGGAGTTCTTGGGGTGGCTGCCAGTGGGGGGCTCCCAATTTTGTCTGGAAAGCCATGTCTTATGAGTGCTGCTCTCACTACTTCTGTCATGTGATGAAGCTTGACTACATAAGGTTTAAGAAATAAAACAACCCTAATAGCCACCATGTACTGCGTGCTCCGTGTTCCAGGCAGTACATGGAAAGTTCACAGATTAACTCACTAATCCTCACGGGAATCTTATGGGCGGATATACTGTCGTCTCCATTTTCAAGATGAAGATTCCAGAGGCTTTGGAGAGGTAAGTAATTGGACTGAAACCACATAGCCAGGAAGGGGCAGGGCTCAGATTCAAACCCAGGTTTCTGACTCAGGAGCCCATACTCTTAGCTCTTGAGTTCCCTCCCTCCCTGTGCTGTGCTGTCTGCAAGGTCCTGAATTTGCCAGCAAGTTTCCCAGAATGCCGGAGGATGCCCTGAGAGCACCAAGCCTGCGTTTCTCCAGCCTTGGAGGCCTCCCAGGCCCTCCCTGCTGAATTTTATATATATATATATATATATATATATATATATATATATATATATATATATATATATATACTTTTTTAAAATTGATTTCAGAGAGGGCAGGAGAGAGAGAGAGAAACATCAATGATGAGAGAGAATCACTGATCGACTGCCTCCTGCACGCACCACACTGCAAACCAAACCTACAACCCAGACATATGCCCTGACCGAGAATCGAACCCTGACCTCCTGGTTAATAGGTTGACACTCAACCACTGAGCCACACCAGCTGGGCTACCTGCATCTTTAATGCATGCATACAAGAGGGCATTGCTGCACGTTGGAGCCGGCCATGGTCCTCTTCATCTTCCTGAAAGAAGGAAGTTGGCAGCCCCGCCCCCGTCCCCTTCCCAACTCCTCCTGACATCCAGTGCTATCATCAGCACATTTTCACAAGGCATCGCAGCATCCCAATGACCACCCCAGCTGCACGACAGCCATGGCATTTACCTTCGCTGGCCTTTCTCCAAGGACTGAAAGGAAATACTCGTAATATTGGAAGAAATGCTCTACATTGATGGCTTTCTATGTTGGTTGATAGTGTTACTACCTGGGAAGGCACTGATATCCAAAGCTTTACACAGACTACGGGATCGGCCCCAAATACAACCCTTCTAAAAGGCAGAAACCTTGCCCCTGCTGGTTTGGCTCAGTGACTGGAGCATTAGATCCCGGACTAAAGGGTCCTGGGACCTATTCCAGTCAAGGGCATGGACCTTGGTTGTAGGCTCATCCCCAGCCCCATGCCAGTGCGTGCAGGAGGCAACCAGCCAATATGTCTCTTTCACATCATTGTTTCTCTCTGTGTGTCTCTTCCCCTCCTTTCCACTCTCTCCAAAAATCAATGTAGAAAATATCCTCCAGTGAGGATTAACTAATAAAATAAAATAAAATAAAATAAAATAAAATAAAATAAAATGAAAATTTAAAGGCAGGAACCTTAACCTTCTCTTAATACTCTTCTCTTTAATGTTTCAACTTAAGTTCTCTACTCTCTTCTCTTTGGCTTTATCTATTGCTCAAATGCAAATGTTTCTACTTAGCTGCTTTTGACATATAATTAATTTTTGTCCCTAACTGCAAAATGATAAATCATACACAATTAGAATCATGCATTTTCTTGAGGACTAAGAGAGTCTTTGTTTATTTCTACTCCCATCCATCCCTCATGCACCTCTGTGCAGAGAATTAATGTCCTTGATATTTCATCAAAATCTGTGGTGGCCTCCCCTTTCCTCCTTGTCCTAAAAAAACGAACCATGATTCATTCACCGAGCCTGTCACCTAGACTGCTGATTTTCAGTGGAACAAGTGTGAAGTGGCATGTAACTACTCTTTAATTGGCACTTACTTGCCAATTACACATCACTAGCTGCTGTAGTATGACATTTATCTGATTTACTAACGACATTTAGCATCCCTTCACTTACTCCTTAATTCTCTTGGGTCTCCTGTTTTAAAAACTGCCTTTTCACGTTCTTTACCCTTTTATCTATATTTCTCCTGTTGATTTCCAGGAGTTCCTTCTACATTTTAGAATGGTAATAGACCCCTGTTAGTTTGAACATCACAACAGTGTTTTCCAACCCTTTGTGTGTCTATTAAAAGTGTCACTGGTGTTCGTTGTTGAATAGAAAGTCTTCATTTTAGTATAATCAAGTTCATCAATTTTTTTGTTTTATTCTTTTGAAGTTTTTTGGAGGAAAGTCTTTCCTAACTCCTATCATGATTTTTCTCCTACCATTTTTTTTTCTATTATCTTTATAACATTCGGCAGGGATCCAGTTTCATTTTTCTCCATAGAACGAGCCGGTTTCCCTACAAGCCCTCCTATTAAAAGCTCAGTGATAAGTCCCACGTATTTCTTGCAAATCAGATGCGCTGGTATGAGACAAAATAGCGTCTGAGAGAACTAACGGAGAGCGTGGTGTGAGTAAACAAAAGAAAGCTGAGTCTTAACCTCATAAAACTCTAGCTTCTCCCCCCTGAATACAAACTTTCTCCAAATGCATCTCCTCTCTTGTCTTCCGACTGGTGCTTTCCCCCTTTCGGAGTGTGTGTAAACCCAATACCTTCCTCTTTGCAAACACTCACTAGAAATCCAGGCCTGTGTGACCAGGCTAAGCCTAAACTGCAGGAGTAGAGCCTGATACATAACGAGATCTCGCTAACGAACAGCGACGGTGCTGCAGGATCCTTCACATTCACAGGAGGGCAGGAGGAGTTCAGACAGGTGGAGCCCACCATTAAACTATATTTAGGGTCTGGAGTCAGCAGAGGTGGGGGCGGCACACCGGCGGCCAGCATCGCTTGTTCTGAGACCTTATTCCTCAAGAAATGAAGCTCTCTGAAACTGGCAGCCTCCTTGACATTAATTACAAACGCATTATTTATCTACATGGTCCTTGGGCCCTACAATTCCAAAGGGACACACACTTTTCAAGATTAGAAAACACTTTCAAACCAAGGGCCAGTCATATTTTTCCCCAGTAAGAGTGGATTTTTTTTATTACCTTTGTTACTAAAAAGAGTGAGAATACGGCAAGCTCCAGACTGACACAGTCACCCTCTGCAAGTTTGCTCCTCCTGGCCCCAGCTCAGAGGCCGTGTGTCCTGCTGCTCTGTCAAGAAAGAAGCCCAGGTCTAGCTGAGGGGTCCAGGTGAGGTAACGCAGCTCTCCCAGCTACAGTGGAAGTGGGCGTGTGCTCTCATGTGCTCAACGGGGATGTACTAGTAAGCTCTGTTCACTGTCTTGCTCAATCAGGGTATCTCTGTGCTTCGGACAGTGCCTGACACATCTAAAAAACATTAGATGAGCCTTGACTGGGTACTCAATGGCTCAATTCTCAGTCAAGGGCACATACCTCAGTTGTGGGTTTCCCAACCCCTACTTAGTGCCTGAGGGAGGCAACCAATCAATCTGTCTCTCTCACATCAATGTTTCTCTCTCTCTCTCTCTCTCTCTCTCTCTCTCTCTCTCTCTCTCTCTCTCTCTCTCTCTCCCTCCCTCCCTCCCTTTCTCCCTCCTTCCCTCCCTTCCTCCCTCCTCCCTCACTTTCACTGTATAAATCAATGGAAAAAAATATACTTGGGTAAGGATTTTTTTTTAAATTAGATGAATGAATGCTTGAAAGAAAGAATTAATTAATTAACCAAATTAGATCTAGGTCCAAAATTAAGAAACCTAAAATCTCAATCAAATATGACCAAAACCTTAGCTATGTGGTCTCAATCAAGTTATTTGAACACTCTGGACTTCATTTGCTCAGCTCTAAAATGAGAGGTTAGACTAATCAATGTAAGGTTCCAATCAATTTCTGTAGATTCTATACTTGGGGAAGAAGAAAGAGATGGTTATGATGAATACTGAAAAAAATGGACCCAATGGCGGAAAGAAGTAAAAAGGGGAATGGGGTGAAAAGGGCAGGATTAACATTTACTGGTTACCTGGGTATGCCGGGTATGTATCAGTCCAATCGATCTTCACAAAGTACCATCACCCATTATAGAGGAGGAAATAGAGAAGTTGCTGCTGAAAGTTTCACAACAACAGTTAAAATGTCAATCTGGGATTTGATCCCGGGCCTCTTAGGTTCATTACTGATTCTACTATTCCATACTGCATTTAAAAAACAAAAACAAACAAAAAAAAAAACACCTTAACTTGCCTGGCCAAGGTGGCTCAAATGGTTGAGTGTCAATCCATGAACCAAGAGGTCACTGGTTTAATTCCCAGTCAGGGCACATGCCCAGGTTACAGACTCAGTCCCCAGTAGGGGGCTGTGCAGGAGGCAGCTAATCAATGTTTCTCTCTCATTGATGTCTCTATCTCCCTCCATCCCCCTCTCTCTAAAATCAATTTATATATCTTCTACACTAATAAAAGAGAAACATGCAAATGACCATCACTCTGCTATGCCCAACAGCCAATCAGAGTAAGTATGCAAATTAACTGAAAACATGGTGGCAGCCCTACCCACCAGCCGCTTCAAGCCTGTGGGAGTCAGAGAAGTCAGGTGCCAGCGCCTGAGGCTGGGTGCTGCCCGGGAGACAAAAAAGCCACCTGGACCATGATCCCAGGCTACAGCCAGCTGGAGAAGCCGTCCTCTCCATGTCCTGGGGGAGATGGAGAAGCCAGGCCCCAGTGCCTGATGCTGGCTGCAGCCAGGGAGATGAAGAAGCCACCTGCCCTGTGATCCCAGGCCACAGCAATGGGAGAAGTCACCCCCACTGCATCCCAGGGAAGATGGAGAAGCTGTCTGCCTGCGGTCTAGGCACCAACACCTGCAGCTGGCTACAGCCTGGTAGATGGAAGCCACCCACACTGCGGTCCCAGGCACCAGCACCTGCAGCTGGCTGTGGCCCAAGCGCCTAAGGCTGACCAGAGGGAAGGAAGCCCGGATCCCGGGTGCCTGTGGTTGGCTGAAGGAAGAAATCCTAGGATACGGGTGCAGGGCCAAGGCAGAGGTGGTTTGAGGCAATCAAGCCAGCAGGGAAGCAGTTAGGGACAATCAGGCTGGCAGGCAGAAGTAGTTAGGGGCAATCACACAGGCAGGCAAGCGGTTAGGAGCCAGCAGTTCTGGATTGTGAGAGGGATGTCT